AAAAGAAAAAAAAGATCAAAAGAAAAAAATGTTTCAATATTCAAATATTCTAAGTGAAGATTGATCAAAAGGAAAAAAAGGAAAAAAAAAAAAAGAAAGTTCAAAGTTTGTTTGTTCACTCAAGTTCTATAATTTTATATTTTGTATATATGAGTGAAGTTGTAAGTGTTGGAAATATTGTTGATATAATTGGATGTTTGGTGAATTTTTGGTAGAGTTGAGTTGTGTTGGAGATGATTTGGTCATTATTTAATTTTGACCTTGGTTTTATTTATTAGGATTTTGGCTCCCTTAAGTATGGCTTTACTCTCACATTTTCCCAAATTTATCCTACCCTTTACCTAAGCCTTACATTAGAAGCTTTGAAGACCTTCCGACCTTCATGCATAGAGTTGTATGAATGTGATATTAGTTGTTTATCAATGCAAAGAATGATTTGATATATTTCGAGTCGACTACTAGGTTGAGTGTATGTCTTTTAAACACACCAGTGTTGTGAGTTTGGGAGGGCATTGTTCACATTAAAGGGGTTGGATGGAGAGTGATCGGATACATTTTTTATCCGCCACATAAAAGAGTGAAGAGTGCGTGAACAGTAGTCTTGAATTCCATATACACTTGTGGTTTGCTTTATTTGACAATTGTTAGGGAGGATGAGTAGTTGGATGGATTTGATTGGTTGATTTTGATGCATATTTGTTAGATTTGCCTTGAATTGGTTATGTTTGGTTTTAATTGATTTTTGGGGTGAAGTATGTTTTATTTGTTCTGTAGGGTTTCGTAGTGACCCGACACTACGTGGAAGGAAACCCATCAAGACCCGCCCCTTAATTAAAGCAATTAACAAGCATAATAAACTTAATCAAACAAGATTAAGAACAAGAATTATACCTTTGATGCGTGCTTCGCTCCCAAAGAGCTCTTACTTCAAAATCCCGAAAAGACGAGATCTCCGACGGATCGTACCCTCGACCCGACCCGAGCGTCCTAAGTCTTGAAGGTTAGTCAAGACCCGGACAAAATAACTATAAGTTTTACGAATCAAAGGTTTACTCTTTCTTAGAGTTGCCTTTTTAATTCCACTCAAGGTTATTCATTTCCCAATACCCAAGCTTAGTATTTATAGGGAAATGAACCCTTGTATTTCATTCCCCAACCAATGTGGGAGAATGTTTAATTTGCTAATTAATTTATTTCTAAAATAAATTAATAAATAAATGCAATCACAATTCGACAAGTGTCAAAGGGAGAGAGAGCATTAGGTGAGGACCATGGAGAGGTGGGGGGGGGGGGCAATGCCTTGCTCCCCAAGGCTTTCCCAAAGCCTTGGTCCTCACCCTCACAAAACCGCATCACCCAAGGCTGCTGGCTAGCTGCCAGCTGGCTGTGCCAGCTAGCCCAGCATGCTAGCACAAGCCCAGCAGCAGCGCTGGTGCTTGCTTGTGCTGGCGCTGGTGCTTGCTGGTGCGTGCTGGCGCTGGTGCATGTTGGTGCGTGCTGGCGCTGGTGCCAGCATCCCATGCATCATCGCTGCACCATATGCTCGCATGGCCCAGCATGCGTGCTGCTAGCGACCTTCGCATGCTGGCCTCTCGCTTCGCACCACACTCGCACATCATGCGCGCCACGCATCAGTCCCTCTCGCACGCAATACCTAGCATGCGTGCTGCTAGCAAGCCACGCATGCTTGGCTTGACGTTGCTAGCTTGCTAGCCCCTTCGCACACACTCGCACAGCCACACGCATCAGCCTCGGCCATGCACCGTGCACCATGCACACACATGCCTCGCCCAAGCACCACGCACCACGCATGCGCTAGTGCCTAGCACTAGTTGTGCTTGGTGCGTGTGGTCCTGCCATGCGCCCAACATTGTTCTAGGGCCGCTACGACATCAGGACATCCTAGGGCACGCATGGTGCGCCTAGTGATGCTGCCTGGGCTGCGATGGTGCCCAGCCATCCTAGGGCACGCATGGTGCGCCTAGTGATGCTCTTGGCTTGCGATGGGCTGCGATGGTGCCCAACATCATGCTAGGGCTGCGATAGCGCCTATGCATGATGCCAGGGCTGTGTTGGCGCGCCTGGTGCTAGCGATAGCCAACCATGGTGCCTAGCCATCACGCTAAGGCTGCGATAGTGCCTAGGCATGATGCTAGGGCTGCTATGGCGCGCCTAGTGCCTATGATGAGCTAGCCTAGCCTAGTTATGGCTACGCTCATACTTGTCGATTGTAATTTTGCGACGCTCGGTCTCGACGCCCTAGGCTCGATGTCCGACGTCTGTATTCGTAAAACTCTATCGACTCATTAAATCCTTTTGGATTAATTTGTCGTCTCGGATCGGTGATTCGATTTGGTTCGATCCGAAGGGTTCAGTTAAGATTAAGCTGTAACATCAATTGCACATTGATATTATTGATCGGAAGTGGCCTCCACCTAGGCATTCCGATCACTTGACCTTACTGAAGAATTAGCTCTGTAATAATTTTGAACCCTCTACCGGAAGAATACACTTGTTGGAAGGACACCATTCCTTTCATGTTCATTGATGAGCTCTTTGCTTTGGGACAAGCAAAGGTTTGGCTTGGGGGAGTTTGATATGTTCATTTTATATAGAGATTTACACCCGTCCCTTGGGAATATTTAGGAGTATTGTTGGCTCCTTGGAGCCACTTTTATTACTAATATGCGTTTTCTAGGATTTTCCTAGATTTGGTATTGTTTTATAGGAAATTGCGGATTTGGAGCATTTTCCCGGATTAATTGGAGCCGCTATGAGCATTGGAGTAAGGTCTCATTATATGACCATATTCCGTAGCCCAAGACCGCATTGGAGTAATCAAACCGATGATTAAGGGCTCGGTGAAGAAGAAGAGTTCGGGGCAATGGACCGTGTTTCAAGATCCAAGAGGAAATTCGGATTCTGCTAAGAAAATAGCCCAATTGAGATGTCCATGGTTGCCCGAAGAGCTCGCCCGACCGGGTAGGCCCTCGCCCTGAGGAGCGCCCGGCCGGGCGAGGCATATAGAAGAAAGGCGCCCTTCACCCTGTCTCGCGCCCGACCGGGCGCAAGTGAAGAAGCCACCAACAAAAAGGTGGGCCTGGCCGGGCGAAGCTCCGCCCGACCAGGCGCATGTTTCTAAGAAGAAGTTTTGACGATTTAATTTGTTTATAGGATTTTGTGCTTAAGTATAAATACGTTTTTAAGCTAGATACGATTACTTCTTCTTTAGTTAGTTAATTACCAGATTTCTGATTTTAAGCTTTGGTTAATACTCTTATTTTCTCTCTACACCTTTGACTTATGCAATTCATTATTTTCCGTTTACTTTGGTAACGATTTCTTCCCCTTTTATTTTCAGTAATTTAGTTGCTTTGAGTTAATATGCTTCCTCTAATTGCGTTGATTAGTTTAGGTTTAATTATGTGCGAGTAGTTTATTTTCTAGGGTTTATGGGGATCCATGAATAATATGAGTGAAGGGGTAATTTATTAATGTTGATTGTTGATGTTTTAGATTGATTTCCTATTGATTGATTTAATGTTATGCAATTAGATTTGCGCAGGTTTAATTGTATGAGTTTTGCAATATTGATTCGAGATTCAAGAGATGAGAATTGATGTTTAGACTTAGTTTCAATAGGCTGGTTAATTTATAAATGGTTAAGTCAAGATTCGAGAGATGCGATTTAATACCGGTAGATTAATTTTGTGATCGTAATATGTAGCGAAAGCCCTTTATGATCTGATTAATCTATGCATTGATGATTGATTATTATGTTTTACCTTGGAATATTATTTATTGGTGAACCTATACCCTAGGCCTTTTTTTTGTATTGTTTTCCTCCCTTATTTAACTTGCTTCAGTTTAGTTATTAGTTTAATTCTCACAAAAAACAATTTGGTTACTTGATAATTTAGATTATATTAATTAATTAGGAATAGAAATATTTGTTTCTTTGTGGATTCGACCCTACTTCCCTATCTATATTAGTTAGTGGTTTTAGAAATTACTTTTGATTAGGTGATACGAATTTAGCCTGTCACCAGCCATGCGTGTCATGCGTGCCTAGCATCGCCTAAGTTTTTGCTCATTTGTTAAATTAGCAACTAAATAATTGCAACTAACTATTTGCTCATTTGTAAATTGAGCAAAAAATTGATAAATAACTATTGGCTAAAAATATTAAATCTTATATGTATATAAAAGTATCATTACACTTTTTAACAAGAAAATACACACACACACACACACACACACACACACATACGCACGCACACACACGCGCGTGCGCGCGTGCACACACACACACACCTACACATACACATACATACACGCACTCACAACTTGTAATAGAATTTGAAATCAGATTCTGAAATTAGATTTAGAAATTAGATTTTGAAATCAGTTTCTGAAATCAGAATTTTGATCAGCTACTGAATTGAAATGTGTGGGTAGGTTTGTGTGGGTGGTTTGGCTGGTATTTTCTAAGTTTTTTTTTTTGTATTAATTGTTATTTATTTGTTTAATTTTAATGTACTAATTTTTTCTATCTTACTTATTTGTAGCTTTTATATATTGATCAATTTGTCATTGAGGAAGTTAGAGCTAAACGAGAAACTCCGGTTCTCAAAGGTTGGACAACCAATATGTTGTCTAGTTGTGAGAAATTGGAAATTTTTAAGGGGAGGCTTGGACTTTTTGATAAAAATCTAAAGGTTGTTGGTCATTCTGGCAGCAAACAACCAAAAATGGTATTTCACTTTCAACCAATACTTAGGTTTTCTATGCCTTTGGCATTGCTTGTAGAATTCAATTGGAACAAATCTTGCCTTTAGGAAATTGATGCAATGTGAGCTCTATATGGCACACCAATGGACCTCCTAAATGAGCAATAACGTTTTGCTCATTTGTCAAATAAAGTTCAATTTGCTCATTTTTATATGACTTTTGCTCATTTGATATTTACTCTTTTCATTTATATTGCTTCTAAATAAAATTGGAACAAATCTTTCCTTTGCTTGTAGAATAAGTATCAATATGTCAGATCTCATTTTATAAGCTTGGGCTATAATTTGTTGAGGTATTTGTATGATCACAAATGGTCCCAACTTATACTGACATTTTTTTTAGTGTTTTGCATTTAGGAAACATCCATTCCAACTGCTCCACAATCCAACGAAGATGTTGAAGTAGATCCAAAGAAGGTATTTATATGATTTTTAATATTTCAATGTAGATCTAATATTAATGTAGTTTGTTTTTCAATGTACAATTCTGTGAAGTTTGGAAACTGGTTGGCAAAATTGAGGGGTGTGGAGTAGCAGCAGCAGGTGGATAATGATGCAATGTGGCACTCTATAGGGCGCATCAATGGACCTCCTAAATCAGCAATAAATATTTGCTCATTTGTCAAATGAGCAATTAATTTTTGCTCATTTGTCAAATGAGCAAAAACTTTAGTGCTCATTTGTTAAATAAAGTTCAATTTGCTCATTTTTATATGACTTTGCTTATTTCATATCCACTTTGCTTATTTGTCAAATGAGCAATTAATTTTTTGCTCATTTGTTAAATGAGCCTAAACTTTACTAATGATTTGTGTAAACAAATTTAATTTGCTCATTTTATATGACTTTGGTTATTTGATATTCACTTTTCTTATTTCTTATTTAGTCTTTTGATTTATATTTATGTTTTTTATGTTTTTTTTTATTTCTAGAAATGCCTTATGGATCTTGGAGCAGCTTCGACTAAACTGGTGTTGGCATACATGGACTTTAATGAGCATGAACAAGCTGTCAAGCATTTTCCTCACAATGAGAAAATACGGAAGTCGTTGAAGGAAGATACCATGGGTATTTGTGACGAGCAAAGATTGAGTTCCCAAGCTATGCCAGAAAAACATAGCCTTTCTTTAAGCCAAGACGATGAGTGTTGGCAAGATTCGACTGTCATTGAAGCTTGGGATAGATTTTCCAAGATTTCAGCTAATGAGAAGAATGTTGAATCCTCAGTCTTTGCTAGGGCTGATTGTCCAACCGTAACAGAAGCCATTGATGTTACAAAGATTGCCGCTGAAAATGTTCAGATAGCAAATAGTCTTTCTGAAAATGAAGGTCCTGCTATTGTAGTTGAAACTGAAAAAGTTGAAGGAGGTTCAAGTATTCGATCTAGTTTGAGATCTTCGGTTAAAAAAGGATTTGGAACTCCTACTTTCAGATTAGGATTTGATTCTCAAAATAGTGATGATCTGGAGAACTCCCCAACTAATGTACAACCTTTAGTTGATGCTGATGCTGATGTTCCTGTACGACCTTCAGTTGTTGCTGATGCTGATGTTCCTCTGAGTGGAGATGTTGGTCCTTCTGCTGCAGGTGCTGCTGATGTTCCTGTTCTAAAGAAAGCGTAAAGTTCAACATTTAATCTACATTTACTCTACATTATCAATTCTTCTTAGATCACCTTTTAAGGCACGGATTATCAACATTTACTCTACATTATCAGAAGTTCAGAAAAGTGTCTTGGAAGCTCTGTTTGATGATGATAAAAATCATTTGTAAGTATTTTTTTTTATAGAATTTGCTATTTTGTACACTAACTCCCATTTGTTTTAGTGATACTAACTTTATTAATTCTTTTATGCAGTGAACAAGTATTTTTTATCCAAAGTTAATGGAAAGGATGCTGTTGAAATCATGAGATTTCAACTTGAAAAGCTTTATACTCAAAATAAAGTTGATTCAGAAATCATTAATGTTTGGTGTAGTATTGTGAATTATAATGAGCAATTTAGAGACTCAAATTCTCCTGCTCGTTTCTTTTTTAAGCTTAGTGCTACTGTAAGTTCATATTCTTTCATTTATTTTGTTCTATTGAATTATTCTACAGTATTCCTGTTGTATTTAATTTTATTTTTTTCTTAAATGTGTAGGAGTGTCTTGTTCATTATGAGATTGATTCTGTTAGTCATCGGAATGCTATGTTCTGTGAGGTTGTTGAGAAGTTATACAACCAAAGTGTTGTCCCAAAGAAGGACATTCAACTTTTCTTCTTCCCAGTTTACGAAAGAGATCATTATTATTTGGTATGTTTCAACACTACCACACAGTATGGTAATATCGAGGTTATTGATTATAGTGAAGATTCGGGAGATCACACAAAGCTTTTAAAACATTTGGTACGACTCAAAAGTTAATTTCTATTAACATTATGTTTGCTTATTTCAGTAAAATGATTAGATTTTAGAAATATCTATTATGTTTGCTCATTTGATGTGTTTATTTTCAGAGAAGTGCATTTTGCAATTTTATGCAATATGGAGGAAATGTACAGAGCTCTGTGTTGTCAAGCGATATCAAGCGCATGGAGTATTCTGCAATTGATTCTCCTTGGAAGTCTACAGGTATAAATCATTTGCATTACGGAATAGCATTGATGAGGCTTATGGAAACATACATGGGTTTGTCAAAGTGGCCTTCAGGTTTGAAGAAGAATAATGAAAGTCTTTCATATTATATGGAATGTCCTTAGATACTTGTTTTCTTCCTAATAGATTCCCATTCTATTTTTATATGGGCTTCTTGCTGGACTTCATTAAATTTTGTGTGTGCCAAGCCTAAAAAAGGTTGGCTACAAGGCCTACAATGTTTACTTATTAATTTCTAGTACCCTCTGAGTTTATAGGAATATGGACATGTAAAGTGTAAATTTACTTCAATAGCCATTACAGTAGTAGCTAAGGAACTTTTTCAATGACGCTGTAGTAAAGGGGTACCTTCACTACCTTGTGATTATGTGTCTATGTGATATTTAGAACAACATTGATAGCTCATGAATTTATAATAACCTTTGTAAAAGTGGGAGTAGAGCTACTTTAACTTATCTACAGTAGCCACTCCACGTGTCACTCACATGCATAAGTGTATTTTAAGGAGGGTTGGGGGGGGGGAGTATTTGAAATTTGAATGATAAAGAAAATTCATGATGATAAAAGGATATTAGTAGTTTTATATGCACCACCAAGTTTATATACCTAGTAGGTTAGTATTATTTTATTATTCTTAAATAGAAGTTTAAATAAATCTTGCTCATTTGTCAAATGAGCAGCCAATAATTTGCTCATTTTTCAAATGAGCAAGCAATTATTTGCTCATTTTTCAAATGAGAAAATTGTTCTTTGCTCATTTGTCAAATGAGCAAATTGTTCTTTGCTCATTTGTCAAATGAGCAAATTGTTCTTTGCTCATTTTTCAAATGAGCAAATTATTCTTTGCTCAAATTATGACATTTTCCTCTTTTATTGAATTTTGGCTATGGCCAATATACGTAGTAGATGCTTTGGAGTGACCTTGCACACCCATTCATGTACCTTCCCTTTTCCACCTCGGCTGAAACTTGGGCTACGAACTGTAGAGCCATTGAGCCAAAGTTCAGTGAACCCAGTGAACCTTTAAATGTAGTAAAACATTATTCTTTATTGATATGCTACCACAATATAAATCGGATTAATAACACAATTTTAAGAGGATCTAACTTATTTTTCTTCTTCTGTATATATTTGTTGCACATTACTACTGATATCTTTAACTTCTGATACAAGATTAACCTAGAATATAATTTATAAAGTAATAAGAACATTTAATAGTCTTGGCTTACATATCAAGTATGCTGCATATGAATATAAATAGTCTGTGCAGCTTATTAGCAAGATTTCAAGCTAATTTTCTTTTCAAATAACCGTAAAGGAAATCAGACTTGGGTTTCTTAGTACTTATTCTATTCTTCTGCTTCCTGCTTCACCCTCCTTCCTGCATTTATATTTTTTTAAAATTTTCTTGTTGTTTTATTTTTTTCTTTTCTATTTCTTACATGTGATAATCATAGAAAAACTTCTTGTGAAGTACACCCTGGAAATAATTTCAAGTGAAATAAACACAATTCAGTCCGTTAAAGAAATTCCTCAAAAGAAGAAAAAGTAGAAGAAAGTTTCTGTTAAGACTATAGAAGAAAAACCTGAAGAAAAAAAGGGTGAAGAAGAAAAAGCTACTTGTTAGTGTAACCTTCAGTATTTTGCTTGGTGTAGTGTTGATTTAGATACTTGGTGGTGTTGATATGGCTTTTCAGGTTTAGGGAAGTAGAGAAACAATGATTTTATCAACCTGTAAGTTGTTTAGTAGTGTTGATTTGAATCGAAATTAGATAATTAGTTTGAATCAAAATTAGATTTTTGTTAGTTTTTGAATGATGTAAAAATGGTGGTTATATTTGAATCGAAATTAGATCTTTTGTGTTGACTTTTGATTATGGTGACTTTTGTGGTGGTTGTATTTAAATTGGATCTTTTGTGTTTACTTGAAATACTTTGTCATTTATACCTACCGTTTATTTGAACTATTTTGCTCATTTTACAAATGAGCAACAAACTATTTGCTCAATTGACAAATGAGTACAGAAATATTTGCTTATTTGTTAAGTGAGCAAAAATTGATTGATCATTTCACAAATGAGCAAAGAAATGCTTGTTGATTTAATGAATGATTAAATTTTTTTTTGCTCATTTGACAAATGAGCAACTAACTATTTGCTCATTTGACAAATGAGAAACTAAGTTTTTGCTCATTTGTTAAATTAGCAATTAAGTATTTGTTCATTTGACAAATGAGCAACTAACTATTTGCTCATTTACTAAATGAGCAAAAAATTGATTGCTCATTTTCCATATGGTCAAAGAAATGTTTGCTTATTTTACAAATAAGTAAGTAATTGTTTGCTCAATTCACTAGGCGAAAATACGTAATCCCCACCGGTTCAAACCCCCCATTTAGCACCGGTTTTGAACCGGTGGGGATTTAGGAGGGTGCTAAAACCCCATACATTTCGCACCGGTTTCGGGGGAGAACCGGTGCCAAAAACTAAACTTTTTGCACCGGTGCCAAAAACTAAACTTTTTGCACCAGTGCCAAAAGTCTCCAAAAATATTTTAAAAAAACTTTTAGCACCGGTTCTTTTCCAAAATCGGTACCAAAAGTGCCCCAAAAAAAATAATTTTTTTTTTTTTTTTTTTTTTTTTTTTGCATTTTTTCACTTAAATTGTACCAAATACTTATATATAATCATAATATACATAAAACACATATATTTTCTTCAATATTTGTGTCATACATCTGATGGAGCTTTATCATCATCACATGAAAAATCAAGCTCAGAAATGCATATTGAAGCAATGAGGGCAGCATATACCACAAAGTCAATAAAAATAGAATACCTTCCTAACCATCATTAAAGAGCACTACATCTTTGATAAATAGAATAAAAACTAAGACAAAAAAAAACAGCAGACTGTAGCAGCTCCCACTAACCCCAAGCCTGCAACAGAGAATGAGACAGCACAGCCACACCACGACCAGCAACCCCAGCAGCAGCTACAAGCAAAATAGCAACCAGAAGCTACACTACGGCTAGGCAGCCAGCACCAGACCCAGTACGAGCTGTCAAAACCAGCAGACCAACAGCACAACAGTGCAACAGCAGCACAAACATACAACAACTTATCAGCAAAGCAGCACTGAACACAGCAACGCAACCACAACAGCAGACAGTAGGCAGAACAACAGAACAGCAGACCAGCAGACAACAAACAGAAAGCCAGAAGCTCAGTCCAGGTATCCTAACAGCCTGAACAAGATAGAAACACACACCACCAACAAGAAACACAGCAACACAGCACCAGCAAGTCAGGCATCAGCACAGAACAGGGAAAACAAGTTGAAACCCTGACCATAAAACCATGACAACAGCAAAAAACAGACAAAACAGCAGCCTAAGAAAACAAGCAGGAAGAATAGAGATTTGAGGCAACTTGCACGATCTCAGTTTAAGAAAAACAGCCTCACCCCAACCCCTCCCCCCCAAAACAAATATGGCAAATAAAACACCCAAATCTGTAAGAGATGAATCTATAAGCTATGAATATAAGTAAAAGAAAAGGCAACAGAACACACATTCAGAATTCAGTGTTTGCAGCAATTGTTATTCAGTTAGAATCACCAAACCATTTCAGTTAAGCACGACAATTAAGAAGGTATGAATATTGAATTACACATCATGTTAGAGAGAAAGCAACTTAAGAAACCCATTTTGTTCCCCTTAATTATGAAGCAACATGTAACTGGTATGCTATCTTGTCCTAACAAATTACATGGGCAAAATGGATCTGCTCAAATGCACCCTAAACAATGTAAGAGCTTCAAATCATGATCACAACCCAAAGTAAACAAATACTAGGCATACTTTTAGCCTATGTTAATCGGACACGGCTAAAATCGTGAAGTATCCGTGTCGACACAACACGACACGGACACGTGTCCGACCCTACATGGTGCACTCGGACACTTCCATTAAGAGTGGAGAGGAAAAAAGAGGAGAAACATGAAAGAAAAACACATCTTGTTCAAAGACCACCATTGATAAAGGGAAGATGGAGGGAAGAAGATTGTCATATATTAGGATAATTTACCGAGGAAAGAATTAAGATTAAAAAAATAGGGGTGGACGTAATGAAAAATTCAAAGCTTTTGTAATATGTAATTTATTTATATAAATTTAAGTGACGTATTGACGTGTCTATGTATCCGTGTCCAAATATCGAACAGAATCCCCGTGTCCTAAAATTTTGGAACTTGCCGGATCGGACACTTGGACATGTGTCCGTGTCCGACACCTGTTCCCAAGTCCATGTAACATAGCTTTTAGCCATACATTGGTAAGTTCGAGTGATTTGAGACATAAGACCAACAACATGTTGCACTCTTACTTCATTGCTCTCAGCTAAACAAACTCTATACATTTCTGGCTTAATAACTATCACACTAAACTGGGAAAAATCTAACATCACACTCTAATGATTAAACAGCATAAACAACAGCATATTTATCATAGTTCCTAAACAACTGAGAAGCTGAGATTTAAGCAAACAACAACATAGAGTCGTAACTTAAGGATCTAATTCAGCATATTTATCATAGTTCTTAAACCACTGAGAAGCCTACACATTTTTTTTAAAAATGGTAACCTGCCGAACAAAGCTCAATAAACCTAACTACACCAATGCAGATTGCATTCAATATCCACTCCATAAATTAATCAGAACACTGGCTAATACATCTATCAAACAAGTTAGGATAAACACATTTTAAACTATGTAAACTAAAATGCAACTACAAACAAATACTTGACACACAACACTTACACTATTTTAGAAACCACAAACTCCCCTAAGGAATGGTTAATTATTTTTTATATTAATTATTAAGAAATAAAATAAGATAACTCACCAACATAATGTGACAAAATGCAATCGTAAAGTACACTCCTAAAAGTTAGTGCTCTATACAACAAGCATGCATAATAATATCAACATGAAGACTAGAATAGACAAAGTAGAAACATGAACTAGAGGTGCAAATCAGAGCAATTTAGAGCAGCATTGAATATATTTTGGGTAGGGGTGCCTCTACCAGTTCTAGAAAATGGGGTCAGCAAAAAAGAGAGCAATGGAAAACACCGATCCCCAACAATGTAGGGCCTAACAGGATGTCCCCTCACATTGACGACTTTATCCTAGACAACATCACCAAACATGAGCTTATTGTAGAGAGCATTATCCCTGAAAGCATGCGCACAGTGCTGATCGGTGCAGTATGCCCTTTGAGCTCTTCTAGAATTTGGTGTGTTTGCTTATCCCATACCAAGAGAGATTGATCGTCTGATCTTGATACTATCTCTCCTCAGTCAGAGCTTATAGCACGCGCGGCTCTGGAAGACAGCAAACTTAAGAATATACATCAATAAATGTAAAG